CTCTTTGACCTGTCTGTCTCCTCTCCACCTATCTTCTCCTGTATCCATCTTCTATCCGCCTCCCCCTCTCTCCCTATTTATTTCAGAACCCTTCCCCTCCCCCATTTCTGAAGAAGGATCTAGGTCCGAAACGTCAGCCTTCCTGCTCCTCTGATGCTGCTTGGCCTGCTGTGTTCATCCAGCTCTACACCTTGTTATCTCAAGTTAAAAATTGAATTGAAACCAAGTGGACTTCAATACCTTTGTCCTAACCAGAAGTCTATTGCTGTACAAAGCTTCGCTGTCAATTGTATCATAATTTGTAGTTAGTGATTTGGATCGGAGATTGACATTGCTGCTTTATTTAAATTTCTGATAGCTTTGTAATGTCACTTTTTATAATCATTGATTCATTGGAACAGTGTCAGCTACACTAACGTGTAATCTGATTTGTTTCTAAATTATATATTTTAAATATTTCTGTACTTTGTCAAAAATCTCTTGCAGTGTCTAAAAATAATTATTTCAGGTCATGTATGTTTTGCTGCAATGCTTTTTCTAAAAGGCAAATTTTCATTTCAGTTCAATTGATACGTTGTCAGAAAAAGGGAAAGTCTTGGCCAATGTGTGGGGGCAGGCGTGCTGCGTGTCAACCATCTTGCCACTCCCAACACCAAGAAAACTTGCTATAATGAGTGCCAGTGATTCTGAAAAGAACTGACTGGTCAACAATGGAGAGCTTCTTGATGCATCATAGGTCTCGACAGTGACATCCCAGCTCACCAAAAGGGTTGGCAATTTTTGGGCCCTGAGGACTATTGGTCGATATTTTCTCTTCAGAGGATACCAAACAGGAAGCTCGTCTTTCTTCCATTCCTTATCACAGGATAAAGTTGATGGGGAGAGGTGGGACAGGGTGGTTGAATGCAAGGGCAGGGTGTAGCCACCCTATAGTTCCCCGTCTGTACTGTCAATTACTCCCAGAATGGGGAAAATGGAACCCCGCAACAAAGACAAATCTCCCTGGTTAACCTATAGGGAAACCAGCCACTTTTCTCAATTGGAAGGTGGCAACTGCCCATTAATTGACTACTTCAGGGCGTTAATTGCTGGTGAGTCAAAGTTCCAGTGCTCCTTCCTACTCAACACTTCGCGAGGGTCGCATAAAGAGGTCAAGTATCTCTGCAAGACCAACTTGTCCAATTATTTCCACTTTCGTCACATCCAGAGGGGGGGAAATTACACCCGTTGTTTTATTGTTTGTTGCTACAAGATTAGCCCTTCTCTTAAGATCTGTCTTCCAGTTTTACAATACGTCTCCTTTTGTTTGCAGTCTAACCTTCATTTTAAAACCAACTCTGTCAAAACTGTTGGCTTAGTAGGTATATGAAGCATTGGTGATTTGTTTCATTATTATTAACCTACTTTTCTAATCAACCTGTTCAGATATATTGTTACACACAGCTGGAGCAGGTGGCACTTGAACCCAGGGCTCCCTGGTATTATAAAGTGGAGATCGCCAACCGCACCCCCCCCCACACCAACATGGCTAAACCCAGAGGTGCACGCCTCTCCCAATAATCTGTTAAAAGAACCCCCCAATCTGTTATAAAGGAGTGGTTAGATAAAATAAAGCCCCAACACTCACTCTATAATCAACCAGTAACAGTTTATATATCTAACTGTAACAGTGAACGAATTAACTAAACTAATAACAAAGCGAATAAACCCATTCTAACTACTAACTATTCCCGAGTAAAACAAGATTATAATGGTATGTTGCTCCAATAAATACAAGTCCCACATGTATAAAATTTTTAAAAATTAGAATTTAGTCTCTCAAAGTTACAGCCAGGTTATGTCTTCTGGAATGTTCTGTGTCTTCAAAGTCTTCTGTCAGGAATGCTTTCCCAGTGAATCCTTCTGTCAGGAATGCCTTCTCCATCGAAAAATGTAGGAACGTTAACTATTTGTGCCTCTACGCAGTCCCTATCTATTCCCTGCCTATTCATATATCTGTCAATATATCACACAGGGGCTCGTTCCAAGATTTGTACCTAGGTACTTGTACCTAAGATGTCGCCATAAGGGGCAGACATTGTAAAAGCTTTTCACTGTGGAGTACATGTGATAATAAAGAATATTCTATTCTATTAATAACCTAAGAGCCCATAATGTTGAAGGTAGTATATTAGCATAGATAAAGCATTGGCTAATTAATAAAAGACAGAGAGTTGGCGTAAGGGGGCATCTTTATGCTGACAAACTGTAACTAGTAGTGTGCCACGGGGATCAGCACTAGGGCCATAATTATTATCATATATATCGATGACTTGATTGAGGAAAATGACTGTACGAGAGCCAGGTTTGCTGACGACACAAAGTTAGGTGAGAAGTCAAGTGGTGAGGCTGACACAAGGAGTCTTCAGAGGGATTATGGACAGGTTAAGTGAGTGGGTAAAAACCTGGAAGATGGAATTTAATGTGAAGATGATGCACTTTGGCAGGAAAACTAGAGAAACTGAATATTATTTAAGTGGAAAAAGTTTGCCGAAAGCTACAGAGCACAGAGATTTGAGTTCTTTATCCATGAGTCAAAAAAAGCTATAACATTTAAGTTCAATGGGTAATAGGAAAAGCTAATGGAATATTGGCCTTTATTTCAGAGGGAATGGAGCATAAAAGTAGAGGAGTGTAGCTAAAACTTAGCAAGGCACTAATCAGACCACAGCTGGAATACTGTGAACAGCTTTGGGCTGTTTATCTAAGGAAAATATGCTAGTATTGGAGGCAGTCCAGAGAAGATTCACTAGGCTGATACTAGGTGTTAAGGGTTTGTCTTATGAGGATTGATTCATTATATTGGGCCATACTCATTAGAATACAGAAGAATGAGAGGTGACCTCATTGAAGCACGTAAGATTCTTTAAAGGCCTTGACTGGGTAGATGCGGAAAGATTGTTTCCCCTTGTGGGAGAGCCCAGGACCAGAGGGCATATTTTCAGAATAAGTGTTTGCACATTCAAAACAGAGATTAGGAATTTCTTCTCTGAGGGTAGTGATGAATCTGTGAGATTCTTTACCACGTAGGGCTGTTGATGCTGGGTGATTAAATATAGTCAAGGCTGAGAGACAGATTTTTAATCAGTAAGGGAATCAAGGGATCTGGGGAAAAGGCAGGCAAGTAGAATTGAAGACTATCAGATCAGGTTTGATCTCATTGAATGGTAGAGCAGACTCAGTAAGCTGAATGGCCTATTTTCACTCCAATGTCCTATGATCTTGTTAAAACTAATTTGGAAAATGTGTACATCAGGTGAGACCTGCATTAGGTTAGACTGTGCTGGTTCAAATTACCAGTGGCACTCATTGCTTAGGGTCACATCTAAAATAGGTGAATATTAGAGAGATGCTTTGGCTCATGGGAGGAGAAAATAGAATTGATTCACTGAGGTAAAACATTATGAAATTGAGAGGCTAAAGACCAGTAGAAAGCAGTTAGCACTGTGGTGAAGAATAGAGAATTTATTTCCCTTTTACTGCCCAGACTAGCTTAATGACCAGCACTAAATGTCCCTTTTTTTTATTAGAAAGAACGCATTAGTTTTAAAATTTATAAAGGTAATCTTCTTAAGAATAAGATTTTTAGAAAAATCAGGGTTTAAATGCAGTTTTCTTCGAAGTCATAAGGGAGGCAAATCTGAATAAATTTTCAAACATAATGGTTTCAAATCCCTAGATTAAAAGAAATTCAAGAAGTCTACTGGTAGATCTGTAATGAAAACAACTACCCACGACAATAAACTGCTGAGGAGACTTGTTTTCTGATGTCGTCATGATACAATAAGGAAGCAACTCATTTCTGTTTTATGTCTCCACAACAATTGTTTGAGAAGAACTCATGAGAAGGCCATAAACCTGTGCAATACCACTCTATCCCTAAAGCATCCATTTGGCTGGTTGACCTGTTAATGAATTTAAATTTAGAAATATAAAGCTAACAGTTCAATCCCAAGAAAGTAACTCAGTTTATTGAATTAATCAAAAACCATTACAGTTTGGTTCAGATTGGCAGAATTTGCTCGTATAACAGTTCACTGTGTGTATAGCAACTCAGTTAAGAGTAATGCTGCATGAAAAGTCTTGTAAAGTCTTAGTTTTTGGATAGTTTGACTTTTAGAATAGAAGTCTGAGTCGAATTTGGATAGTTTCATGATTGCAGTATGCTTTACATTTTACAATCAAGGGGAAACTGATTGCATTGGATCAGTATGCTCAATACATCACCACATAGTAGCTAGTCTGATCAAACGAACAGTATAACTTTTTTTTATTCCTGGGCTGTAGCACTAGTTCCAAACTTGCAGTTCTGAACTTTACTTCTTTTGTTTCTAATGATAGACTTCATGCCATACCTGTGGAACCTGTCCCTCATGAGTCTTGCCCTATAACATCAGAAGCTGGTAAGTTACTAATTGAAGAATACTGATTAAATAACAACGTCCAATGGTCTAAATGCATAGGAATCAAGGTTGGTTGGAGTGATTAAAAGGCTAATTTTAATCTAACTTGTCCAGGGGAACTAGGCAGTTTTAGGTCAAACATCCATTTTACATCCTGCTTGATTTCATTCCAGCAGGTAGTACAGGTCACAATTACACCCAAACAGTTAAAATGAAATATCCACACCAATGATCCAACGTTATGACTTAGGGCAAATTGAGCAAGCTTAAGTTCAACAATCTAGTGAGAAAAAAAAGGTTGACTATAATAAAGCCACTCCAGAAACTGGAAAGTAAAGCAGTCAGTAGGAAAATAAAATATGATTACAAATTTGTTAAAAGTAATGTGTACTAACTGAAAATGTTTTTCAGTGTTTTTTAAATCTTATCAGGTCATGTTAAATGCCATTATGCTAGGCTGGATGAATTGGTGTACTAAAAGATGAGCTCAGTGGGCAAAACACCATTTCTTACCCTTGAATTGTTTTCCATGGGTTAAGTTGCTAGATTTATCCCATCAATTGCTTTCCGGAAGATTAGGTTGAGATTACATCTAGTGTTAACTCCTGAGAGTTACGAGTCCCTAGCTGTGTTTCTGGTGAAACTGATTGTGCACTCATGACCCAGTTACCAGTTGCAAACCCTAAGTGTGAGACAGGCGCCCTTTGGTACTGGCAGGTCCTTCAAATCTGCAAGTTGGGCTGTGATGTTGTCACTGATATTTGACTTTATTCTAATAGAGGGCTTGCATAGGGGAGTCAGTTATGGTTTTATATAGGGACACTAAAGTAAGAAGAGGGGTTGGGAGGACAAGAGGTTGAAGCAAGTCAATTTTTTTTCCACCTCTCCTCAGATGCTTTGTGAGGCCAGGAAGAGGTCCTGCCTGCTAGCCAGCTGCCACTCTGCCAGTTTCAGCAGTAAATTAAATCTTCCCTCCGAAGAGACCTGGGAGTTGATGTAGCCTGGGCCACACTATTTTGAGCCCAAGACAGTTGTTGCAGCTGTTCTCTGCACTCAGCCAATTTCCCCTCCCAAATTAAAATCAGAACTTTGATTTTCTTTACTTTTCTCTGTCAATCAGTTTGTATATCTGCATGTTTTCACACAAAGGTAATTAAAACCTTATTTAGATTAGAAACACTTTTTGGTTTTATTTATTTTATCATTTACATCCTTTGTCTTACATTGCAGGTTTCTGTTATGGTTAGGTCTCCTCAATTTTAACATAGCTATTCATAATAAAACCCAAATCATGGAAAAGCTTATTTTCTTTCTTTATGTAGGCACTACCAATGGCAAGTACTGCTGTTCCAAAATATATTTCAATCATCGCTGTTTCTCAGGTCCATATCTCAACAAAGGACGAATAGCAGAACTTCCTCAATCAGTTGGACCTGGAAAATGTGTACTTGTTCTGAAAGAGGTAGGATGGATGGAAACATTAAAACCAGTTTACTTAATTAATGAGAATACTTCAAAATTGAGGGCTAATATTTTCTTCAATAAAACCAAAATGCCCATAGGTTCCAAATTTAGAACTTCGTAACCTATTAAAATTCCACCCTCCATATTAAACATTTGAAATAAATTTAATGTTAACTGTAGGAAATTAGCATGCTTAGCAGCAAAACAGTATCAATTACAATTATAGCCTGAGTAATGTAAATAGAATGAAGAGTAATAGAAAAGGATGAGACAGAGCGTGTAGGAAGATGATGATAGATGCAAATTTGAGATCAAGGACCAGGTTTTCAATGTAGAACCTGCCACCTGGAAGGAGCACAGTTCCAACTCATGGCTCAGCCATGATCTCTTGCTATGTAATTTTTAAATGCAAGTGATCTAATTGGCCAGGAGGTGAGCCCATTATTCAATCAGAAAAAACAGGAGCTTTCAGGAGGTGGGGAGCTGCCTGTCTGCCACCAGCACCTAAGGAAGATTGCTGCCATGATGGAGGTTGCTGCTGCCTTGCTGAATAGAGCAGGCATCTCATAAGAGGGGCAGGAAGTGGAAGGAAAGGAAAGTGGCCATTCGAAAAAATTCAAATTACAGCACGGGACCTGGTGGCAGTTGACCCATCAAATTTCCCTTCTTAGTAAATAAATATAAAATTTCAAACCTTCCTGCAGTTAACCTGACAGCTGGGCACTAACATGCACCAGATTATTTGGGTTCACCAAAATAAACATTGAAACTCTTGTTCCTAACTGCATGTACCCTTTCATGTGCTTGTTGGGCACTTAAGTTAGATGAACTTTACGGACTGTGGGACTATGGTAATGGGATTGACTGGATTACTCTATGGAAATCAAATATGAATTTGATGGGCTGAATGGGCTCTTTCTGTGCCATGATAACTCATACCCTATTGACCCAGTAATATGATGACAAGCAGGTTGCTTGTTCCCCCCTCTCCACCTGCCCTTTGAAAATTTGGCACAATCCCAGAGGCATCAGGGTTGTGAAACAATCTCCAGGACTGCATTCTTGAAATCATACCCGCAGTTGGTTTTGATCCCACTGATATTTGGAAATTCCACTTTGAGAGGGAGCAAGAGAATTGCTCTACTTTTGAACTGGCTATGAAGTTCATGGAACTTTGGGCCTGGAATTCTGTTCATTTTGAATTACCATTACTATTGAATTTTGAATTATCATTAATAATTTTGCACTAGGGTGTTAGTTGGTCACCGAAGGTTGGTCAAAAAAGAATGAATCAATTGTCTTGCAATGCCACTGTATAGAAAGAAGACCCTGATGTTTTTAATACCTTCCTGTCGATAGTATATACAGTAATATTACAAAACATGCTAATGTTGGTTTTAGTTTTATAACTAGCATGCACAAAAAGGAAATTAAGGAAGAATCTCCATTTGGCAAATACATCACACATTGGAACTTAGTGCAACACTATTTACAGGAGCAACCACATTTAGTAAATAACTCATAGACACACCTGAAACTTGAAAAATCTTGTGTGCACTAAGTTCATGATTTACAATGGATATAATTCTGTATGTTGTACAAATCTCTTTAATATAGGCTTTCTTTTCCACTTAATTATTTCAATTTCAATTTCATCAATTATGTGATACTCTGAATTAGTCCAAATAGATGTTGACAAGAGTTCTGAACTGGTACAAGCTGCTGTTCCTGACTTCTAAAATTGTAGACCTTTGACAAAAAGCTTGATCTGCTAAGAGGAGCCTCATTAAAATATCTTGTAGACAGCCAGTCTCTTCAGCATTGTCACCAGATGCATGGGAAAAGAATTTTATGCAACCAATATCTCTCATAATTGAAATATTCAGACAAAATGTGTACACCCTTGATAATTTGGTTTTCATTTTGAGATCATGAGTATTAGAATTGATCTTTGTACTTTTTGTTGCCTTTCAAATAGGTTCTTAATCTGTTAATTAATGCAGCCTACAAACCAGGCCGGGTGCTCCGGGAATTGCAGCTTGAAGATGACCCAGAGTGGAATTGTCAGGAAGAGACACTGAAAGCCAAGTAAGTGGAACCGTGCTTGCATGAAGATGTGACTAGTTGGTTTTGTAATAAGTAAATCACTGAATAATATTGAGTATATAACTCACAATGTGTGAGTTGCAAAAGATAACTTGCCTGCTTTTCAGTTAACCCAAAGTGCTTTGTGCACTTTTATAAATCTCACTTTTAGATGTTTATCAGCTTAATTCTTTCATTCAACTGAAAGAAGAAAGCAGCAGTTTCCTGAGCACTTCCTGTCACAGAAGTATGATACACACATTGTGAAACAGGTGTCCAGTGCTCCTGTGTAGTTGTTTTGTGGTTATTGAGTATTGCATTTTAATTGTCAGCATACATGCTGAGAAATGATAAAAATAACAAGTTGTAAGTTGCACTTAAATCACAAGTAATCTTCAAGAAGTGCATTTAACATTATACAACAGTAAAATACATGAGTATTAGTTGAAGCTAGCTCTTCAAAACACACACAAATAATATTTTTAAACATATACAATACATTGGCACTGAATCAGGAATGTCAGTGAACAATGGAAGAAGGGCCAATCATACATCCCTGGTAGCTGCACTGAAAAATAAACCACATCCATGATATACAAATCCAATGAAGCTGTTCCTTGGAAATTGCTGAGTTATTATAAAGGATATTTGTTGTCCTGTTACATTTGTCCAAAGAAACAGGAGTTGCTGAAAATCTTGAATAAAAGTAGAACGCGCTGGAAGTATTCAGTAGATCAGGCAGCATCCATGGAGAGAACAATTACCGTTTAAAGTCAGTTGTGATCTTTCATTAGCACTTAAAATGTTTGTTCCTAACCCTAACCCTATTGCAGGTGGTTTAGGCAGAGATTAACTCAATTACTGTTGATGTTTTATTGCTTGGCAAACTATAGCAAGGGTTTTGCGCTTTTACATGTAAAATTCACTGAAAAAATATAATTTCTATATAATTAGTACTTTTTCTCTAAAAAGTTTACAGATTTGTAAAACAACTCTTGAGACTGCATTATCACCTCATTAAGGTTAATGTTCATATATATTTTTTAATCAGTTTAGTTTTATACCCAGATGTGTTGTTAAAAATTTATAGACTTTATAAATTGCATTATTAGGTTTTGTAATATGTTTGTTCACAGAAAATGCTCCTTTTTCATTTTTTTTCTGACTACAATGCGTATGTAGAATTAGCTGCCAAAAGCATACAAAGTACAATATTAGGTTTTATGCTTTTAAGTGCTACCTGTTTGAAACTGAGTTTTTGACTTTCATAAAAAAAATTCAAAATAACTGAGTTTCTATTTTGTATAGTGTATGTTATTATCCATTTTGACCTACTGAAGGTGATTACTTAGAGAGTTTTTTGCACATAAAAGCATGATTAGCATGTAAAAGACTGGAACGTCAAGTAGTTCAGCTTTTTTGTTTTGATGCAGTAAATACAGTGACTAATCAAGTTAAGTTGTCATGACTAAACCAAGTGCGTAGAACTGAAAACACTTAATGGATATAAATAGATCATTTTTTAAAAAAGGTAATTTATTTCAACTCTCTTAAGTTAATGTAGATTCTTTTTATATGGTGCCTACCCCTTTACTCTGTGCCTCACAAATCTCAGCATTTTTTTTATTCAGCAAGCATTTATACCATAGACTAGTTTCCTTCCAGTGGTGCTGCTTCATGGCATGGATGTCTAAAATAGGAAAGTTGCCCCTTAAAGCCAGATCATGATCAACAATTTCTACGTCATGTATTGGATTTCTTCTGCTGAAAGGAAGTAGATTGATATTAAGTTGCTTATGTATCAATGCTGAAACATTGTGCTGAATTTAATCCCGTACTCAGTGGGAAATACTGCAGATGGGTCCATTTCATCATGGTTGTGGTCCTATGGCCAAAGTATGCCCCAGTCACGTCAAAGAGTGAAAGGGACTGATATAGAATTCCTGCCTGTCGATTAGGCTTATTTAATGAGTCAATTTGATACACTTCATTCCTGAGCCTAATTTAGTGGTGGCTCGGGAATTTAATGATGATGGGATGGGTTTACCGTGCCTGCAAAAGACCACCCAGCAAACCCAGTCAACTTTGTTACAGGCCAAATCACCAGACCATAGGGCTACTCTCTCAGTGGAGAGGGATGGCTGGTGGTGATTTAACCTGAGGGCCACCATACCTCAGGCGAGGGGAAAGTTTGCAAAGGAGAGTCCTTCATGGTAACCTCAGCCAGTAATGGGAATTGAACCCACACTGTTGGCATCACACTGCTTCGCAGCCATTCCAGGGGTGATATATGGGTCCATTGTTGCAAAACACTGTGCCCAATTAAAAGACCTGTCTTCAGACAAGGAGTTTACCTTTGCTTCAAAACGTCCCCTCTCCTGTGATTTACCATCCTTATCCCTGTCTCATTCATCATTGGCTGGGGGAGCAGAGCCCCACAATGATCTTGCCACATGGACCACAATCATGGGAAAGGTCCTATGATGCTCTGGAGGGCATTTCATTCATTTGGGCTGACTCTTTGGATTTAACTGGGTTTTCCAAATGAAAAAATACCTCAACGTTTTGTAGAGGAGAAATGATAGGCGTTCAAAAAATAAAATGATGGAAGTCGGATAGGGCTATCTGACAACTTAGAGGGCCAATTGGATATTGTTAACACCTTCTTGCTTCTTTGACATCCTTGGCAATATCCAGCTTAATGTTCAGATCTCGTGGTATATGTTTAACGCTCTAATTTGCTTTTAGATTGTACTGTTTAAATTAGTCTATAAGTTTATTAAACTTTTTATGGGTGTTGGTTGTATAATTTGGAATTTTGTCCTCGCTACCTTTTCAGTAGGTCTCAAATGGTGAATGATTCTACAACTGGCAGCTGCATCTTCCCTTTAATTTGGAAATGCAATAATATGGTGCCACAAACCTGTCAAACCAAAATATTAATTGACTTCACCGGAAGTACTTCATTAATTTCTCCATTATTTGTATGCAAATCTCCACCAGTGATTACTGGTCAAAATGTTTGTCTGTCACAGTTAAGCATTCCCATCACTGACATCCATGCTTTTGGTCCATGACAGTGTAATGCAGTACTGGGAACTGATACCCTAAAACCTGAACCATGTACAGCTACAACAGTCAAACTGAGAACAACCCCTCAAAATCACATGATACTGCACATGTGTGCAGTGCTCCAAGTTTCAAAGCAAGGCGGAAAATCCGGTTATTTGTGGTAATAAAATCACTGATCTACATTGGCTGTTGGTCTCCTAACACTTATGCTTTCAAAAAATGTCTTTATTCTTCTCCATCTGATCTGTTTCAGCTCTACAGCCATCCAGGAATTCCTCTTCTAACTGGTCTATTGCCCAGTTTCTTCGGTGCCTTCAACTGATTAGGCCCTAGGCTTTGGCATTTCTTCAAAATACCACTCCACCTCCCCCCCCTCAAATCTATTGCTGATCAAGATTTTAGTCACCTATCCAAATGTCATCCTGCTTGGCGTCTGGACTCTTGTAATGTCTCCTTTTATTACGCTGCCATTGGTGGTCATGTTAATTGTATAATTCTCATGTCCTTAATTTCACTGTCTAAAAGCCTCACTGTCCATGTTATCCTCTCTTTTAAGGCCCTCTTTAAAATGCGTATTGACCAAAATTTTGTCCATCCCTCACAATATCCCCTCATTTGAATCAGCATCCAATTTTATCATAGATATTCATGAAGTGTTGTGGAAAGTTCCCTATAAGTCCGTGTTGTTGTCACCTATAATCTTAGCAACAAACATTAAAATTCCTTTACAACAGACCAATTTGGTGCATTATTGATATAAATGCCTGCTTTAGCTTTCAGCTTGTTGGTATGAGTTTCTTTAGTACTTTTTAGACTGACAAAGAACTGTTGCTGCTGCAGCTGAGTACATGTTCAGATTTATTGAAGCATATTATAATGTTTGGTCAACTGAGTTCTAATGTACATGTATAGCAAATGTACTTTTGTTGTCTTGAATATTTTATTTCTTTAACGATCAATCAGTAAATCCAAAGTTGCATAAAATGTAAAACTGCTGAAAGCTGTCAGTATATGAAGAGGATTTTTAACACAAGATCTCAAAACTTGGAATAAAGATATTATGATCTTTAAATGAAAAGATATGACTGCAAAGAATAGCATGATGCAACATTAAGAAATCTATGAATCTGTTCCTATATGAACATGAGTGGAAAATCATTAATTTTATTTAAAGTATTTTTTATTCTTCTGATTGTGATATTTTAGTGGTGATGTTATATTTAGAGGATTGTTTTTTACATTGTTATTAGTCTCATATTACAGAAGCTTTGCTTTAACCTTTTGAAATAAAGAAGACTTTGCCTCAAAATATTTTAATGTATTTTTCATTGTCTAACAAAATGGACATTTTTCTACTAACTGTTAATGATAGGATTGCTCAACAGCCATTGGGAGGAGGGACTCTGATCACTCATCCCTTGCTGGGACAATTGTAGCATCCCTACTGCTGCTTTGACTGAGGAATTCTAATCCAAATAGAGGGACACTGCAAATGTGGAGTCATGTAGATCTGTAGGTCTTAGCGGTTTATCGGATAAATTCAGTAAGCTACTGGAGTTCAAATGTACTAATCATAAAAGGCTTTAAAGGTTCTGATCTCCCCTTGTACTTTTTGTGAAAATTAAGTTTAAAAAAACATTATTTCTGGTTGCACAGTAAAAGCTAGAATGCAGGCTGTTAATGTCAAATTCAGGTGTTGCCTGTTTTTAAGCAATTTAAACAATTATCTAATAAATAAAACAAGTGGAGCAAAAAAACTAACTTCAGCTGTATGTTTTAAGTAATTATTAAATTGTTTCAATTGGATTATTTTTATCATTTTATTTTAAGGTACAAAGGGAAAACATACAGAGCAATTATGAAAATTGTAAGGACAGCAGATCGGGTTGCAGATTTCTGCAGAAGGACTTGCATGAAGTTAGAATGCTGCCCAAACTTGTTTGGACCGCTCATGGTTACTGACAAATGCCCTGAGAACTGCTCTGTTCACACAAAAACAAAATACAGTAAGTATTATAACTAGGCAAATATTATTATGACCTAGCAGTCTTAATATGAGTTGGAAATAGTAAGCTGTTTTATCAAATTCTGTTGAAAGTAAATGGTTTATTTGTGCATTGGCATAGCTATATAAGTACAGTACAAGCATTATTTGTTTTGAATCCATTGATGCCTCTATCAAAAATACAAAGCCTTTGCTGCCCTTGTAAAATATTCTTTTACAATTCCTGTAATGCTATTTACAGAACATTAAGACAAACTTTTAGTCTTATTAAAATGTCATTTGTATCCGTTTGGGCCACAGAGTTCTTCTCCCATTCAGGAGTTTGAAGTAAGGCAAGAATTTGAAGGAAGGCGAGGAAACCAGTACAGGGTGTTCTGTACATCCTGAAATTGATTGCAGAGAACCGTTCAGAGTGATTTGGGAACAATTTGCTTTTTCACCCTCCTAGATTGCTTCACTCTTGTACTTTTAATGCAGCTGCTTTGGATTAGTATTGGTAATACTACCTAACTACTTTGTGTATTTGCTGGTGCTATATTTATCAGTTCCTGTACTAGTATAGGATTGGAACCAATATATTTTATGTTTTAATGAACACCTTGCATCTTTAACAAATATCTATTTAGAATACATGTTCAAAAAGTATTCTGAACTTACTTAAAGACTGGGGGGAGGAAGGTCTAAAGTAGCACAAAGTTTTCTTAAAGGATGTAGTCGTTAGAAGTGACACATTAATATTAATGACACCACCAATTCATCACTGACCTGACCAATGTTTCTCACAAATTAAAATAAAATGAAGAAAAGCAAATTTCTGCAGTTTAAACTTATTCTGCATCATAGGAATGAATTGTTTGATCTTCATATTTAATACTAACAGATAGTGATGATCTTGTGTATACGTTAGAAGCTATTATTAAGCATATTATAACAGAGCAGTTGGATAAGTTAAAGGTAATCAGGCAGAGTCAACATGGTTTTATCAAAGGGAAATCATATTTAATTAATTATTGGAGTTCTTTAAAGAAGTAACTTGTAATGTAGATAAAGAGGAACCAGTGAATGTATTGTACTTAAGTTATCCAGAAGGCATTTGAGAAAGTGCAACATCAAAGGTTATTGGAGAAAATAAAATCTTATGGTGTAGAGGATCATATGTTGGCATGGATGCAAGATAGGCTCACTAACAAAAAGCAGAGTAGGAATAAATGGGTCTTTTTCCTGGTAGACAGGATTTCATGAGGTAATATGTCACAGGGGTCAGTGCTGATGTCTCAACTCCTTACAGTTTATATAAATGGTTTGGATGCAGGGACTGAAGGTATGGAAGCTAATTTGATGATGACACAAACCTACGTAGAAAAGTGAGTTGTGAAAAGGACATAGTGAACCTACAAATGGATATAGGGAGGTTAAGTGAGTTGGCAAAGATCTGTTAAGTGGAGTACAATATGGGCGAGTGGAAAATTGTCCAATTGGTAGAATGAAAAAGAGCATGATATAGAGCATAGAACAATACAGCACAGTACAGGCCCTTCGGCCCATGATGTTGTCCCGACCTATTATCCTACTAAGATCAAACTACCCTGCGTACCCTACATTTCACTATTCTCCATTTGCCTATCCAAGAGTCGTTTAAATGTCTCTAAATTATCTGACTGCACTACCACTGCCAGCAGTGCATTCCACACGCCCACCACTCTCTGAGTGAAGAACCTACCTCTGACATCTCCCCTATACCTTCCTCCAGTCACCTTAAAATTATGCCCCCTCGTAATAGTCATTTCCGCCCTGGGAAAAAGTCTCTGACTATCCACTCTATCTATGCCTCTCATCATCTTGTACACCTCTATCAAGTCACCTCTCATCCGTCTTTGCTCCAATGAGAAAAGCCCTAGCTCCCTCAACCTTTCCTCATAAGACATGCCCTCCAGTCCAGGCAGCATCCTGGTAAATCTCCTGTGCACTCTCTCTAAAGCTTCCACATCTTTCCTATAATGAGGTGACCAGAACTGAACGCAATATTCCAAGTGTGGTCTAACCAGGGTTTTATAGAGCTGCAGCATAACCCCATGGCTCTTAAACTCAATTCCCCTGCCAATGAGAGCCAACACACCATACGCTTCTTTACAACCCTGTCAACTTTGGTAGCAACTTTGAGGGATCTATGGACATGGACCCCAAGATCCCTCTGTTCCTCCACAATGCCGAGAATCCTGCCATTAACCCTGTATTCTGCATTCAAATTCGACCTTCCAAAATGAATCATGTCACACTTTTCTGGGTTGAATTCCATCTGCCACTTTGCCCAGCTCTGCATCCTGTAAACGTTGAAATGTTGCAGAGACCTGTGATGCAAAGTAATCCAGGTGTCACAATGCATGAATTGCAGAAGGGTAGTAAGCAGGAAAGCTAATGGAATGTTATATTTTATTATGAGGGGAATTGAATTGCAGGGAGGTTATGCTTCAGGTATACAGTGCACTGGTGACATTGGATCTGGAGTACTATATACACAGTAGGGGCCACTGTAGTTGTGCAAGGATGGTAATACATTGGAAGCAGTTCAGGGAAGGTTCATAGAGTAAAAGCTGAATGAGTGGATTGCCTTATGAGGAAAGGCTAGACAGGATGGGCCTGTATACTTCAGACTTTAGAAAAGTCAGAGATGACTTAATTGAAATGTACAAGATCCTGAAGGGACTTGACTGGGTGGATGTTAAAAGGATGTTTCCTCTCGTAGGAGGAGCGAGAACTAGGGGTCATCGTTTAAAAATAAGGGGTCGCCCATTTAAGAAAAAATTAGGAATCATTTATGCTGTAAGGGCTATGAACCTTTTGGAATTTCTCAAAAAGCAGCAGATGAAAGATCTTTAAATATTTTTAAGGCAGAGGTGGATAGATTCTTGATTACCAAGAGACTGAAAGATTATCAGGGATATACAGAAATGTAGAGTTGAGGTTAAAATCAGTTCAGCGATGATCTTATTGAATGGCAGAGTTGGTATGAAGGCTTAAAGAGCCAAATGGCCTATTCTTGTTCCTTGCTCATCTGTTCGTACTGATTGGATACTTTTTTTTTGTCCCAGCTTATTACTATGGAAAAAAGAAGAAAATCATCAGACCTCCTGTTGGATATGGCAACATAGAAAGCAACAATAAAAAACCCACTAAACGCAGGAAAAAACGCAGGTCTTGCTTTGTCCAAAAGAAAAAGCGCTCATCCACATCAGTGGATTGTGCTCCACAGGTATCAGCTGTATTTTATTTATACAGGCAACTGCAAGTAGCTGACTGAATGTGGTAATTGCACTACCCTCACATAAAAGCAGAAAATGCTGGAGAAATTCAGCAGCTTCCTCTGAAGAACTGAATATTCTGAAGAAGAGTCATATCGGATTTGAAATGTTAACTTTGTTGCTGTCTCCACAGATGCTGTCAGACGTGCTGAATTTCTTCAGCATTTTCTGTTTCAGATTTCCAGTGTCCACAGTATTTTGCTTTTATCTAAGCACAAAGAATTGGCATGATTTAGCATTTGCTTGGTATATAGAATTGTGTGTTTTTTTTCCTATTGTACTTCTGTTTATACAACTATATGTGGGTTAAAATACTTAGTATAGAACAAAGAACAACACAGCGCGGGAACAGGCCATTCAGCCCTCCAGGCCTATGCTGATACATTGTGCCCTTCCATACTAAAACTGCCTTCACTTATAGGGTACGTTTCCTTCTATTCCCTTCCTATTCACGTATTCGCCCACGTGCTTCTTGAATGCTGCTGTTGTGTCTGCTTCTACCACCATCTCTGGCAGTGCATTCCAGGCACTTGCCACCCTTTGTATGGAAAACTTGCCCCTCCCACATCTTTCTTAACTCCTCCGCTGTCCCTCTAGCACCTTGAACCTATGTCCTGTAGTAATTGACCCCTCCACCCTGGGAAAAAACCCTCATACATTCCACTCTATCCATGCCATTCACAACCTTATTAACTTCTATCAGGTCACCCCTCAACTTAGTGCGTTCCAGTGAAAAAAAACCCAGTCTCTCCAACCTTCTTCATCGTTAAAATCCTCCATGCCAGGCAACATCCTAGTAAACCTTTTCTATACCCTCGCTTTCTATAACTCCACCAATCTTTGTATTGTCTGCAAACTTACTAGTTGGACCAACCATGTTTCCTTCCAAATCATTTATGTAAACCACAAACAGCAGACGTTCCAGCACTGATCCCTGTGGAACACCACAAGTCTCAACTCTCCATTCCAAAAAGCATCCTTCCACAACTACCCTCTGACTCCTTTGACTAAGCCGGTTCTGTATCCATCTTGTCAGCTCACCCCGATACTATGTGACTTCACCTTTTGTACCAATGTGCCATGAGGGACCTTGTCAAAGGATAGAGCGAGCAAGAGAAACATTTTGCACAGAACATCGTGACGCTTTGAAAGAGTTGGGAATTGAGTCAGAGACCATGGTAACATGTATACAAATGAGGTGCAAGAGGGGAGGGTTGTGATGGGGGCACATAAGATTAGAACAATGCTTTTGTGGATTACAGACACCAGTACATCTATTTTTTATTGGCCCTTAAGCTGGGTTTAAGTTTTAAGGCAATGAATAATGATTATTCTTAACCTAGACAAAGATATCTACATTTAATTTTTTTAATTTCATGTTCTTATTTGTATTTATCCAAAAATAACTCCAGGAAAATGGAGAGGAGAAGGAAGATGGACAAGATATGATAGAGGATGAAACTGGAAGTGATGGAACAAGCTCTGAGCAGCGTGATGATCAAACGGATACATCTTCTGAGTTGCCTGATGTCAAACCAAAACGTTTACGGCGGCTGAGATCAGCATCAGAGCTACCTCAGCCTCACATAGTAGACAGGGCAAAGCGAAAGAGAAGGGTGCGGACATCGTCACTTTCAGAGGATGATAAATATGATTCACTCAAATGCTCAGCACCAAAGGTAAATTATACGACATGTTCAGTGAACTGTAGTTATTTTATATTTTCATGTTGAATTTATATGTATTAAAACGGTGACCTGTATTTATATAGTACTTTTAACATTGTAAAACATCCTAAGGTGTTTCACAGAAATATTATTGGACAAAATTGACGTTGAGCCATATAAGGTGTTCTTAGGATTATAACCAAAGGTTTAGATGAAGAGATGAATTTTAAGGAGTAACTTGAATGAGGAGGGGGAGATTGGTCTTGATATGAAAGTTTACCTTGTGCTGAAATATGTCCCCAAGATTGCAAGAATGATTCAGCTCTGTGTGTGTTTCCCAGGGTTGATGGATGTAGCAGGGCTAGGGAGTAAAGGGCAGAATTTGTTGGAGATAGGAAAGTGAGAGAAAGCCAAACAAAATTACATCAGTCTTCCTGATATCTTTTCAGAGCGGAAATGTTTGCTGTAATAGTGCTGAGTTTCACTCGGGAGTCCGTGGGGCAGTGGTATTGTCACTGGAATAGTAACTTAGAGACCCAAGTAGTGCTTGAGGGACACAAATTTGAAGCCCATCATGGCAAATGACCAAATTGGATGTCTTCAAAATCTGGAATTAAAACCTAATGACCATGAAATCATTGTTGATTGTTGTAAAACCCCACCTGGTTGACAAATGTCCTTAGGGAATGAAATCCCCATCCTTACTTGTTCTAGCCTACATGGAACTCCAGACCCACAGCAATGCAGCTGAATCTTTACTGCCTCTGAAATGGTCTAGCAAGCCACTCAGTTGTATTAAACTGCTAAAACGTCTCAAAGGAATGAAATCTGACAGGAATCAACCGAGAGATTGTAAATGACAATAGCAAACTATCAGACTAGTCACACAATAACCCGGCATAGTCGTGCTCATGTGATCGTACATTACAGACAACATCTGAGGCACCACCACGGCCATCCCTGGATATATCATGTTCCTCGGGGAGGATGGACTCAAAGGTAGCAGCTCAGTGATATGCAGTATGGGAGAATTTTCCTTGGGAATCCTCAACATCGACTGCAGACCTGATGTCTCATGACATCAAGTCAAACATGGACAAGGAAACCTCCTGCTGATTACCATGTACAGCCACCCTCAGCTTATGAATCAGCAGTCCTCCATGTTGAGCACTGTTTGGAGGATGCACTGAAGGTAGTGAGGGTGTAAAATGTACTCACAGTGGAAGATTTCAATGTTCAACACCACTGCTAACCATGATCGTCAAGTCCTAAAAGACATTGCTACTAGTCTGGGACTGAGTAGGTGTTGAGGGAATCAACATTCTCATCTTGCTCATCCTCACCAATATATCAGTTGTAATACTATCAATGGGAGTGACCACTGCACAGCACTTGTGGAGAAGAAGTCCCATCTTCACCTTGTGGGTGCCCTCCATCCTGTCGTGTGGCACCACCATTGTGCTGAATGCGATAGATAATCAGAAACCCAAGGCTCAGTATCCGTGAGGTGCTGTGGGCCATCAGCAACAGCAGAATTATATTAAACCACAACCTGCAACCTCATGACTTAGCATATCTCTCACTCTATCAGCATCATTGAGTCAGACGATCTACCCTGGTTCAATGAAGAATGCAAAAGGGCATGCTAGGAGCACCAGCAGGCATACGTAAGAATAAAGTATCAGATTGGTGAAGCTACGATGCAGGACTATTTGCGTGTCAAAAAACGAGAGCAGCAAGTGATAGGCAGAGATAGGGGGTTCCAAAACCAATGGAAACTGAAAGAATTGTGGATGCTGTAAAGCAGAGACAAAAATAGAAATTGCCGGAAAAAGCTCAGCAGGTCTGGCAGCATCGGTGGAGAGAAATCAGAGTTAACGTTTCAGGCCGAGTGACCCTTCCCCAGAACATATTCAAGCTGGGACTTGCTGTATCTGCATAACTCAGAAGTGTATTTTTACCCACTGAAGTTATTACATCTTTAATAATTTTACGGTCTAATTGTGGAGAAAACTGCTTCTGAAATCCTTATTTTTCTGATGTTCCTTTTTGGGTCATCCATGATTTTATGTGATAATTAATTAATTTGTTTTATATCTACTGTAGGAAATTAGGCAAAATGAAGATGATAAACTTGTGCTGGAAAGTAATCCGTTGGAATGGTCAGTGGCTGAGGTTGTCAGATTTATTAAGTCCACAGACTGTGCACCTCTTGCAAAAATATTTCAGGAACAGGTAATTTTACAAATGGATACTTTTCACAATTCAAAATATTGAGGAAGTTATATCAATATTATTGTGTTTATTAAATAATTTGTCACAGAAAATAACGTGAGAAGATCAAAACTTTTGTGAAGGAGAAAAATGGAATCAAGAAACAATTATTCATTTTTTGTTTGTGATGCCTGCAATTTTGCTGTATCTTCCAAAACTTGCTGCATTTTTTCCTTTCTCCATGGTAATATTTTACACGAATAATATGTTCATCCTTCTACCTGTCCCAAAACAAATGAAGTATCTTTGTGTGATATTTAGTGCTCCATGCTAACTAACTTCCAAAAAGTGTATTAAAGGCAATCTCCCTTTAAGCATTGAACATAACTAACAGAGTATTGTGGTGAGAGATAGTAGGAACTGCAGATGCTGGAGAATCTGAGATAACAAGGTGTGGAGCTGGATGAACACAGCAGGCCAAGCAGCATCAGAGGAGCAGGAAA